AGTGCTGAAGACACATCGGGTAAACAAAACCTACGGTTGTCCATGAACCACCAAAGAGGCGTTATGTAAGTGTTTTTTATATACTAACCAGTTGATATTGAGAGAGAGAGAGTTCACATATTATTTTGTCCGAGTTCACTTCCTATTTGTAAATAGGTTATATATTGTTGTGTTCCTAGTGTGGATTGTTTAGCTGGAGTTCAGATTACAATTAAAATAGAAAGCATATTTGAGGTTATACACCGCTCTCTCTAAAGTAAAAGTAAAACTGAAAGTATTTTGTACTGAAATGGTGTAGTTGTAGTTGTTTGAGAGGTTAAATTAATAGTGAATAGCACAGTCAAATTTACGGCATTCTCTTCATTATATTTTCTTCAATTTTAAAGAATTTAACAATTTTTTTTATGATTTTACAGGTTATTTTTTGTTTTCAGTCCATGAAGTCGCTGTTTTACTCATTATACTTTATATTTGAAACCTTGAACTTTCATTTTCTCTTGGACTGAGGAAAATATCATCCTCGTAGAGTAAGATAAAGTTGAAAAAGAAAAAAATAAAGCTCTCTTCGTGCAGGAGACCGAATTCAAGCCTCTTTCGGAATTGCCTGATATCCAGAATTTGATGTGGAGAAATCCGCTTAGTGGGATTTCACAAGGATTTCTCGATTGAGGAATCTAATTTCACAATTTAGACCATCATGTTTTAATGTTTTATAGTTAATACAAAGGTTTCACATATTTAATACATAGATCCACATTAGTAAGTCCGGATTTAGGAGAGGGCAGGCGAGGCTACTGCCTCGGAGCCTCCACAATAAAGATGAAAAATATCCAAATTTTGACGGTCATCAACTTTTGAGTTTTTTCTCCCAAATATTTTTTTTTGTATTTTCACCAAGAATACTGGCACGAACATAACAATATTGTTATCGATATATCAGAAAGCCCAGATTGCAAATTTCCATTTACTATCAATTTTCTATTTGATCGAGCATTTCAGTGGCAATATTTTTTTATTGTGTCATTTGTAAGTTGTACCCATGAATTAATGAGGAATGAAATAAGTGAAAAAAAATCCGAAAAACGGTTGACCTTGCAGGTCATCAACAACTTCTCGCTTCTTCGAGCTCAAAATTTAAAACTTTTTAAGTGGCCCCCACTACTTCGTTGTCCCAGGGCTTTCAGACTTACATATCCGGCCCTGCACTGAGTCTTGTTCAAGCTGTTTTCTTTTGAGAGGTGTCCGATTCAAATTTTTTTCCTGAACTCATTTTATTACTCATAGATTAAACACACTTATGTAATTTCAACTTGTGAGATTTAAGAAACTGAATAATATATTCGTTTCATCTAATCATCATACAGAAATAACAAAACCTATACTGTCCCCTATACAGGGTGTTCATTAAACATGCGACAAAAAGTCAATGGATTATTCCTTGGACTATGGTAAGGATATTTTGTCCTTTAATGATTTTTGATAGGGCGCTTTGTATCGAAGATACAGAGCGAAAAAAATTCGACAATAACAATTTATTACCAGAAATTACATGTAATGTTTTAAATCTATAAGAACTCTTTAAAATAACAACCTCTCGCTGGGATGTAAGAATCCAATCTCCTCCTCATCGACTCCCAAACTCTTTCAAAAACACCAGGATCGTTTCTGATTGCGTTACACCCAGCAGTTATCCGATTTCTCAAATCTTCCACATCTTTCACTGGAGTTGTTGAGTTCTTGTCGCCCCATATCTTCGAAACAAAGCTTCCTATCAAAAATCATCAAAGAACAAAATATCCTTAAAATAGTCCAAGGAATAGTCCCTTGATATGTTCAATAAACACCCTGTATTTCTGATATTGACTGGATGAAAATGTGCAACAGACGTGAGCATCACTTTTTAAACTTTGTATATAGTATAACAATTTAAAGAATTTACTTTCCTAAACAAATTAATTTCCAACAATATTTCACTATCACAAACTAATTTATTTACATCTCTCAGCAACTAACGCTTAATTTATTTCCACTATTTGAGTTCCTTGTTTAACCGCTCGATTCACTTTCTGAACTCAACTGCCCTCTTGGGATGAGAAGCCGTCCTTATATATCTGTAACGATCGTTCTAGAATTCTGTAGTCGTTTCGGTACTCAACTAGAGTTTAACCGGCGGTTGCCGACAGCATTCCTTTTGCGGTGATGTCATGTGTTTGTTTGCTGGCCGACATATCGGTCAGGGGCGGCTTCAGATTCGTTACAATAGACTCCAGGATAATAAAACTCCCGAATATCCCATTAATAAACTCATAGATATCGATAAACCTCATAGATGACCGACAACTTTTTCAAACCAATATTCTTACAATCCCGAAACATTCTTTAATATTATAAGAACGCTCTGTTCTGATAATCAGAACAATCACCTTAATGAGTAGAGTCGGCGGTGTTCAAAGAGGAAATCTCGACATTTCCTTAGGTTTTCCCCTTTTTATCGGAAGACATCAGCCTCACCAGGAACTGAAAACCCCACATGAAATACCACTTGCTATGATGGTCGGGAAGAACTACATCAGGCTTTTTAGCCTTTATGACCCTAAGGGTGAGGAACGAATACTTTCAACGAATTCGGCACTTTTCATTCTCCACAATGAATTCAATACCCCTCAGAGTCTAGGGCAATACCTTCAAAGTTCCGTGGATGGTAATTAAGCACTTTTGGGGTCGTGTTATAGCAATGGATATAGGTAGTACTGCATATGCTTGACATGCTGACAGCATGTGCATCAGGGTTTCAGGGTCCTTCCTGCAAGCCCTGCACCTGGTATCAGGTACCCATCACGCGACTGCGGTAGATTGAGGTGATGAAGACACTATCCTGGACATGGTGAAACACTCAGTTTTCGAATTCAGCCCACTCGATATGAGAAAAGCAAAGGCCAGGAGGGTGCTTCGACAAGCCAGAGTATTCAATATTGTGAAAAGAGACCCCATGCATCTGCTTATTCTTGTGTTACCAATGGAGTGAAGGGGTCTCTGCGGTTTTTATGTGGGTTTTTTGCTGAACGGGTTCCAACTTGGTGGTAGTTCACCTCTTATAGTGTCAAAAACCGAACCAACTTCGTATGCCGCTCGGACAGCTGTCCTGAAGAGAAATACTCCAATGGTTGCTCTCTCATGGTAGCGAACCACGCTACGAAGAGGATCCGAACTCCTTATGACTCCACCCAGTACAATTCTGGTATGTAGACACTCCAAACTCAAAAAAATTCGCGGCCTGTTGACGGGGGAAGTACAACCGTGGAACGGACGATTTGGAAAGCAAACTCCTATAGAGATGAGTCATTTCTCGAGTCTTTACGTCGAGTCGATACTGCTCCTTCCGAGTCCACTTCACTACTCTAAACATGTGGAGTAAGATTGAAACGGCAAGAATATTAGTAGCATCTAGATGAGGGAGGATAATTCCATCTACAAGCTCTGCACATCAACTTCGTAATCCCTGCATCGTCCTCTTTTGAGATGGGCCGTTGCTTGTTTGTCTATCCCGAATTTCAGACCAACAGCATACGTGTACTCTTCCACTACCCTTGAGGAGTAATAGGGATCCTTTTCTCCAGAGGCATAAGGTGACATCTAGCCTCAGGTTTCCTAGGTTACTACAGATACACCCTCGAGTATTTCTGAGCGCAACGAATTAAGATTATTAACGTTATTATTTTTCTGTTAATGAAGATTCTTGAAGAGATGAATCACTGAGAATATCGTCTTTATTCGAAACGAATTCAAGTGAATTCTAATTAGCTGATTGTAATTTTAAGATGAGTTCTGAATATATTGTTTTTCTATTTTTACTGGAATTAAATCCGGTTAACACATGAAAAACATATACATTCAGCAATATATTACTACTAGCTTTATGGTATGTTTGTTTGTTATCATGAACAACTTGACATAAAACTCTCATTGCTAAAAAAGTGGCGTATGTACATTCCCATATGTTACTGTATAAAATTCATAATGATTCTTTTCTTGTTATCCAACACTTTGCCGAAAAATCGATGACTTACCTAAATGTATAATCTTCGTCTTAGACAGCTTTTCAAAGTATGCTGAGTCCTTCAAAATAATATTTCTGAATTTGATCATTATCATTTGAAATGACAATTTGAATCATACTAACGGTAAGGTGCAAGAAAAATAGATGACTTTAATACGGAAATAAGAATAAAAATAATTTTTATTCAGCACACCTTAAGAACAGTCGAATACTGTGAACAGAATTGAAAAATATTGAATAAGTTCTTTAGGAAATGTCATGAAAAAATATATTTTTGTGTGTATTTCATATAAAGTCAATTTTCCTCAGTTATTATCGAACGTAAATCATTTTTCATTCATTACTTGTCACAATATGGTTGTCTTCTCACTGATATGAATTGAGAAAAATAGAAGACCCAGTGAAGAACCCCGAGGGACGCCACAATCAATTGAAGGTTGAGATGTCAAAAATTTCATGGTTCATTGACATCATAATGATGAAGTTGGAGACACATATATTTTTCTAGCTGATCCAAATCAATAAATCAGAAAGGTCACAAAATACAAGCACGATGGCCCATAGAAAAATCTGTATACAAAAATTAAGTAATGTTACTATTCAATTCTGCACAACTGGGAGTAGCTGATTACTAAACAAATTTGGATGGATAGAGAATTGTGACATCTCTATCAAAATATGTGTTGGAAATGTTAAGATGCATAAAATCCCTGGTGTTTTTGTCTATTTGCTTTCATTTTGTCAAAAACTCTCGACGCGGTAAATGAGATTGACCCAACTGTGTACACATGTACTCAGCACTTCTTTAAAAAAAATGCGAGAAGATTTGTCAAAATATTTCACATGAAGAAGGGGGGAAATGTATTTGAAGTTTATTTTCGACTTGAGGTATTTTCAGCAACATAACCTGGTTGACTTAAAACTAGTAATCAATAAATTTCAATAAAAGCTAACTCTTCTCTTTATTGATAACCTTCAAACTTACCTATTCGGTTCAAAATATGTGTACAAAATAGTTTCACAATAATTCGAATTGTTTGCATACATCTTGATGATTTCCAATGTGAAATGAATCAAAAACGACCAATGGCCTTCAGTATTTTTTTAATAAATGCATTCCTTTCCTGCAAATGCGTATTTTAATAAGTACTACTGAAACACATACTATTATGCGATAATTTGGGACATACTGAATCAAATTTCATGCAGGATTCTCTTCTGGTGAAGCCCTATAAGAAAACGTCAACAGAGACTTAACCTACTCAGTATAAAAAGTAAAAACTCAGAAATGTTCGGAACGTTGTTCTTTTCTAGCGCTAGCTCTCTCAGCTTTAGCCTGGGACAACTCGAACTCTGCAGATTCTTGCTCTGTTTCCGCAACTAAAGCTCTCAATCTAGCAACCCTGGCTTCCCTAGCTGCTTGTTTCTCTGCCATGGCCGCCATCTCGTCTTCAATGTCGCTCAATCTTTCCCTGGATTGTTTAGCTCTCAGAGCTGCTCCGCTTTCGGATCTGATGTACGAAGAATCATCTGCAACTTTAGATCTGACACTCCTCACTTCTTCCCTTCTCGATCTGACGGACGATACGTTGTTTTCCAGCGGCGTCCATTTTGTTAAATCGTCTGCTTCGGGTTCGAAAGTCACTTTCAAAGCTCTGCGTTTCATGGCGGTGTCGTCTTCCAACATTCTCCTAGCAGAATTTTCATTTATTCCGACACTATCTAGGATTTTCTCGGATCTCCCCAGGAGGCGGTTGGTTTTGAGATTGTTCGATGTTGATTCTAGATCGACATCGTCGATAATTGAGACCTTCTTTTTGGCTCTGAGATGGCGGATGGAAGCGGCAGTCTAAAATAAAAAGCGTTAATATAGGTACTTGTAAAATAATGTTGGTATTGATGCTGGTTAATGTTCATTTGAACATTTTATTTTGTGGCAGAACTAGCGTTATTTCTTCCAAGCAGTACAAAATGTGAGTTATTTCTAAAACAAGCTAAGCCACCTAAAAGATGTTGAAATAAATCTATTGGTATATTAATTATTTTCAATTGTCAGTAATCAATCTACTTTTTATTTTATTATATGATTATCAAAACGGTGGAAAAATGGAAGGGGACTTGATAATCCTACAATGAAAAAAAATGGAAGCACACGGTTGCAAATAATCAACTGTAACTATCGACCTTGCATAAATGTGAATATTACTAAAATATCGATACATATTATTAGTTACTACTTGGGTGGTCCCAGAAGTACCTGGCCTAATCTGGAGATGGCAGTAGATGTTCAAAAAAATATCACGATATCAGAAAGTACACAATCTATAAAGCATATGTTTTAAGTTTGAAGACGCTGCGTTATTCAGTATTTGTTTTACAGCCATCAATAGCGAACGGTTTCGGTGAATTTGTGATAAAAGAGAAAATTGTTTATCGTTATTTGGTATAATACTTCTATTTTTTTAAGGACAAAACACAAGCAATACAGGAAAATCTTCAGAGCGGTTCTCTTAGAGCGGTGCTTGAGCGAAAGTAGTGTTTCACAATAGATTTGAATTGCTGAAGATGAAATCCATTTGGTAAAACGTTCTCTGAACGTTTATTCCACATAAACGTAGTTCTCCAAATAAAAGAGTTCTTGAACAGACGAGTTCGAGATCCGCAGAGATTTGAAGCTGTTAACCATACAGCAGTCCATTCAGTTGAGGAATCAGAGAGTTTTCGAGTCAGCGGAAACTCATGATAACCCATTAGTTAGGGAAGCTGTAGATTACACTATAGACGACCCCTCTCGATTCAGAAGGCCCCGTCGCTCGGTTGAGTGAAGGCTCCACGACGTCTGTTAAAATGAACAGTTTGTTCATCAATACCCCAGTCAGGAAGGGGTACACAAGGCCACAGCGGCATAGATGTCATTGACCTTTATGCCGTTACCAAACAACACTCTGAGTTATGAACCAATCGTCCTCCTGGCGAGAGACAGTCGAAAGGGTACGGAAAGAGATTTTCAACCTGAACAAAATCAAGATGGATTTCGTGGAGTTCGGGATGTACTGATATGTACCGCTCTTGTTGATATCAAATGTGCCAAGTCACTTGAACACTTCCTGTGGAAGTATCTATAGAAGAAAGACAAATCTCCAACCTTTCCTCAATATTCCAGACCATGAAGGTTGCAGGTGATGTTCGCGTGTCCAATCAGGCGTATGGCTCTTTCCTGGATGGAATCCAGCAGCTTCAGGATATGTATGTGAGCGGAGCTCCATACATGAGAACAATACTTCAAAAAAGATCTGATCTAAGCGTTATGAAGCATCAAAAGTTGCTGAGGTGTGTACAGTTTTCTAGTTCGAAACTGTTTCAAGCCTTTGAGAATCAGCTTTTGCAATTCCAGCGACACGATTGTGCCAAGACATATTGGTGTCCATTTCAACCCCCCAACAAAGTTATCGAAGCAGAAAGCGGAATTGCCTGACCTGACATTTTTATATCCGGTTCGGAGATATTCATCTTTTTGGAGAAAACCGATGCCTGGGTTTTGGAAGCATTGAATTGAACCTGGTTACTTTTATCCCAAGATATGCAACCTCCTGCTGCTGGTGAAAATGTCCATCCGCAGCCGATGTCTTGGAATCCTAATGGAATGACGAGATAAGTGTGCTGCCATCATTTGGAAAACGTTTCACACAAAACCAGTTCTCCAGATGAACGAGTTCTTAAAAGTATCAAAAGTAGCTGAGGTGTGTACAGATTTCTGGTTCAGAACAGTGTTCCAAACTTTTGAGAAGCAGCCTTTGCTGCTTGTGTGAAGACATGATTGTGTGAAGACATATTGGTATCCATTTTCCCCCAACAAACTCATCGAAGCAGAAAGCGGAATTGTCTGACCTGATATTATTATATCCAGTTTATCTTCTTTAAGAAAACCGATGCCTGGGTTTTTGTGGCATTGAAATGAACCTGGTTATTTTCACCCCAATTCGAAATCACCTTTAGATCCTCAACAAGATATGCAACCTCCTGTTGCCGATGAAGATGTCATGGAATCCAAATAGAGTGACTAGACAAGTGTGCTATCGTCAGCAAAGTAATATATCGTTGAATTTATTATGAGAAAACTCTGTCTTATATCAACAATATTTCCATAGATGACGACATAGTGGCGCCATATTGAATTTCTAGAAAATGGCTTTCACGCCGCCAATTTGAAAGGAATTGATCAGTTATGTTATGTTATACCTATCGTTGGAAACAGAAACGTATAATTCAGCACCAAATTACAGAAAATGGATATTCTTTGCACTCATAAAGTATCAGTGATTTTGATGAAACGGCAAAGAAGGACAGACGAAAACTATTGAGAATGTGGCAGAAGTTTATCATATGTAAATGAATTGAAGAGTGTCATTTTCTCGATTATTAACAAATCAGTACAGGAATCAGGTCAATATTTCTATCAGAAAGTACAATATGGGCCATGAAAAAATCTGTCGAAAATACACACGCTGGATGTTGAAGATCTCAAAGAAAAATCATGTCAAAATGTGAAATATATGAAAAATTTCAATAAGAAGGATAGAGGGATAACAGAAATGGTGAGAGAAAAGTAAGAAACCTTAGTGACACTGTAGCATTTACTACTACTAGAAATTTCGACCTATATAAACACGCAAATGATATGACATACGCCCCACCAAAAAATTACGGATACTGTACGAGGTCAGTTCAAAAAATCAGGTGAATGTTCACATTTCGCCGGCTATGTACATTCGATTAGCTATTTTTTTGAACGGTTTTATTCAGTGTGTCCTGTTTGTTTATTTGATTAGAGTTAGAAATGTTTTGCGTGATCCGCGATTTTCTGCTATTGAAAAAAATGGATTGAAAAATTTGCATCACATTTTGTGTGAGAATGGAATAAAGTGCTTGAAAATACTTGAAATGTCGACAGTGGCATACAGTGATTGTACTCTGAGTTAGAACCACATAAATGCTCAACACCCTAGCATCAAATTCACCATGGAAACTGAACAGGAACAACGACTAGCTTATCTAGATGTACTCGTTGAAAGGCGTGGCACTTTCGAACCATCATCCAAGTCAAATGCGGGGAATCATCAACACCCTGACGGAACGTGCCCGTAGAATATGTGAATCGGAACACCTACAAGAAGAATTGGAATATCTCCAAGTGGCTTTGAGATCGGATGGATACAGTGTAACCGAGATCAACAAGGTCATGAAACTGAAGACTTCCATAAGTCAAAATAGGGATACATCCCTATGATACGGGAAAATCCTAAGGAAGCATAATATAAAAACAGTGTTCAAGCCCACCAGGAAAATACAACAAAGCCTTAGATCTGTGAAAGAGAGAAAAGATCCGCTAACAGCTGCGGGGGTATATCGTATACCACGCACCTGCAGAAAAGTTTATATCGGTACCACCAAAAGATCCATGGGTACAAGGCTAAATGAACATCGGAGAAACTGTAGATTAGGTCGAATAGAAAAATCGGCAGTAGCGGAACACGTGTTCAGTAAAGGAGATCATACGATACTGTTTGAAGATGTGAAATTACTTACACCCGATCACGGATACCACAGTCGGCTTGTACGGGAAGCCATATAAATCCATAAACATACAGTCCAAAAAAGCATGCCAAGTTCAATCATATGAACAGGTTTTGCTCACTGTTCTCTTCGATTACGTGGCGTCGTGCATAAGGAGTTTTTGGTACATGGTCGTTCGGTCAAAAAAGAGTATTATCTTGAAGTTATGCGCAGCTTGCGAGGAGCAATACGAAGAAAACGTCTGGTATTGTGGTAAAACAATTCATAGCTTTCACATCGCGATAATGCACCTGGTCACTAGTCATTGCTTGTTCCTAATATTTTGACTAAAAATAACACCGTAATCATGCTTCAACCACCGTATTCACCCGATTCGCTCCCCTACATCTTCTTCCTGTTCCCAAGATTGAAGAAACCCATGAAAGGACGGCGTTTTCCGACGATCGAGGAGATAAAAACCGAATCTTGCACAAACAAAAACGAAATACAATTTTTCCGATCAGTTCGGAATTAACAGTTCGTCATTTTGAAGTAACTAGAAATCCTCTCTAGAAATCTCTGTAACTTATATTGCAGAAGTTACCGTTTTTTAAAATTTACATAATAATTTACATTGTCAATGTTACCAACGATATGGCATAAAAAATGTTTTTTTAAAGAAATTATCCACAATGTTGTACTGGAAAAAATATGTTGAAGAG